AGTGAATTCCTAATTCTTTTTATCTTTGCTTATAATTTTTCTTTTTCTCTCTGGGAATTTTAAACAATGTTTTCTCATCATCATGAGCTTTGTGTGGCTGCCTTTATACTTTTTCTACATAGTTCCTTCATATTTTTAAATTCTGTGTATATGCTTTTTATCAGATTTAGAATATTTTGGAGCACCATGTCTTCAAATAATTAGTATGACCTCACTCCCTTTTCTGACATTCCAGTGACACGTATGTGAGTCCAGCATGTATTTCTTGTGTCACTGATGCTCTGTTTTCTTTCTTTTAGCCTTTTTCTCCTGTGCAGTTCAAATAGATTATCTTCAAGTTGACTGGCTCCTTTTACAATATCCAATATGCTCTTAAACTCACCAGTGAGCTTATTGTTATAGATATTTTATTTTTCTATTCTGAAGAATTTAATTTGGTTATTTTTCATAGTTTCCGTTACTCTTCAGAATTATTTTTTTAATTTTGTGCATACTAATCGTATTTACAATAGGTGTTCTAAGGCTAGTTTCATCATTTCTGTTATTCCTGAATTTCATTTTATTGAGTGATCTCTCTTGATTATGATAGGTCACATTTTCTAACAATTTTTGCATGTCTGGTGATTTTTAGTTTTTGGGTTTTTTGTTTTTATTTTTTGAAACAATGTCTTGCTATGTTATCAAAGCTGGCTTTGACCTTGCTACGTAGCCCCGGGATGGCCTCAAACTTGTGAGTCTCCTCTGCTGGTTTCCCAAGTACTGGGATTATATAACCCTATAAATCCACCTCCACCTCTCTAGTTATTTTTGAATGGATTCCAGACGTGGTTAATGTAACGTGGCTGCATGGCTGTATTGCTTTTTCTTTATTATTGAGTATAGCATTTCATTTTGCTGAGCATTTATTTTTAAATAACCTAGAATTAGCATATCCTTTTAAAAACTTCATTAGGGTGGGCCTAAAATAACTTTTAAGATTAGTTAAGCCTTATTTCTTGTCTATGACCTTTCTAGGTTCTTTCCTGTGTACTCAAAATATCTCATCACTCTGGTTACATAGAACTCATATGTCTTCCATCCCTACTTGAGCTCTAGGTGTTGTAAAGTTTAGAGCACAGGTGGCTGGTTTTCCCGCTGCTTATAGTAGGCATATCCTGCTTGTGGGAGCTGAATTTTACCCCACAGTTTCAAAGAACACCTTTGAATGATTTTGGATCTTTTTTTGTGTAGTTCACTCTTCCTCGGTTCTGCATAAAACACATGCCAGCTGCCTTAGCCAGTTTGAATCCACTCCTCTGTGTTCTCATCTCGCTGAAGCCCTCACCACCTGCACTCCACTTAGGGTCACCCTCGCAGTGACGGGTCTGGCAAATTTTTCAAGCTGGAAAGCATGCAGTTTTAGAGTTCATAGCATTTTTTCTCCGTCCATTAGTTGACAATTATGTAATGTTGAGAACAGTTGTTTCACATATAGTTCATTTGTATAGGGTGAGAGAGCTAGGATGTTTGCAGTTTGTTCATTTATGAAGAGAAGCAAGATCCCTGAAGACACATGCTTAAATATCATCTTTTAAAAACAAATAAAGCCGGGCGTGGTGGTGCACACCTGTAATCCCAGCACTGGGCAGGCTGAGGCAGGAGGATCACTGTGAGTTCGAGACCAGCCTGGGCTACACAGTGAGTTTCAGGTCAGACTCAAGTACATAGTGAGGCCCTGTCTCAAAGAACGAAAACAAACAAAAAGACTCTCAGGAAAGAGCACTCCGGGGCTGCTGCAGAAAGTGATATGAACAATGGGATGAGTGTGTGTTCTAAGCAAGAGGGAGGATTCTAAGGGGGATTCCTGACAATGTGTCTTTTACTGTGATAAATTTTTAAATTTAATCGCCATATATTTTTATCTTCAAAAAAAAAAAAAAAAAAAAAAAAAAAAAACCCAAATAAAAACAAACAAAAAAGAAACATCATATACCTGAACTGGTGAATCTTAATGTTAATTTCCTATTAAATCAATGTGTGTGGATTTGCATGTATTTGTGCTTGTTATTTTCAGAAAGATGTGCCAAAAACATGAATTGAGTAGAAATATCATATTTTAACAATCCCAAGAGGGGTTTTAAGGCACTTTTTCTAGAGATCTTCATGAAATATTACTTTATAATTTTGCCCTGAAAATGTGTTGAAATACTGGAATGGGCAGTTTATATTCATCATTATATCAATCTAGGCCAAAAAGATTTCTCAAAATATTTAATAAGATCTAGGAAAATGTAAAGAAATTCTTCATATTTTAGGCAAAAATTATTAATTTGTTATCAAAAACATTGTTAACATAGTTTAAAGTTTATCCATTTGTACGTGGTAATAGTTATTTGGAAAATATTGGGAGTTTTCTAACAATCTATTTGCTCTTCAAGTTAAAATTTTGAAATATTTCTAAATGTCTATTCACTAGTCATAACATGTACACTTGTTTAACATTTAATGCATAATTTTAGATTTTACAAATTATTTGCTAGAAGCTGAGATTGACAGGTAAGTTTTGATAATTTCATTAACATACTCTTTGATTAATGGGCACCAGGAAATATCTTGGTGGACTAGAAATAACAGGTAGTTTAAAAGAAATACAAGTAACTAATTAACAAATGAAGAGATCTTTAGCTTCAATAGTAACAAAGCAAGAAATCCTTAGAAAAGGAACAGCTAGATTTTTCAAACTTGAGCTCCTCGTGTTTCTCCATAATCATATTCTCTTGATAGCTTTTATTTGCCATTACCTCATTATTGGTCATTGCACAACCCCTCTTTTCTCACCCTGGCCCCTGGCATCCTATGTGACAGCTGACAATTAGTCTGTCAATTTTACCTTAAATGCCTCTTGCTGTTGCTGCATGTGCTGCTTTCATTTGAGGCTCAGTTTGTGTTATAACCCATCCTCTGCCTAAATTAACCCTGCACAAGTCCATTTTCCTTGTAACATTTAAAAATTCCTTTATTAAAGTTTTATATTTTTTGCTAGGAAGTGCCTAGAAAGTCTGGTTATCCTTCACTCTCCACCCTCTTCTCTTTGGGACCCGCTTTCCTGTGCCTGTCACACTTGTCTTCCTAGCCCAGATCAAGCTGCATTGATCTTTCAGACGCTCCTACTTTTAGTTCTCTCAGTCAGTCTTAAGTAGTTTTTCTCTGCTTCCCTTATTCCTTCAAACTGATTCTCTCAGTAAATAATATCCCCAGCCAAGCCTTTCTTGACTTTCCACACATCAGTGTCCGCATGTCACAAGTTAATTACTTATGTCCACTCATCTGTTGATTGGCAGATGATGGATAAAGAAAAAGTGGTATTTAGGCACAATGGAGTACTACGCTGCTATAAAGAAGAATGAACTTGAATCATTAGTAGGAAAACAGGTGCACCTGGAGACTACATGTTAAGAGAAATAAAGTAGACACACAAGCTTAGATATCATATACTTTCTGTCTTATTTGAGGATCCCAAATTATAAACAAGGAGAAAAATGAAAGATAATAATAGGAGATAGGGAGATAGATCTTTCTCAAATGGTAAGGGGATCAAAAGATGGAGGGGAAGGAAAAGTGATGAAGAAAGGAATTAAGATGTGTTATGTACACACAACAGCTCCACGCAAGAAATGTAAACATTATGCACTGCAAATATGTACTAATAAAAATGAAATTTAAAAAAGTTCCTTACTTATATAACTTGTTGAATGTTTGGTTCTTTAATTAGGTTATACGTTTTGTGAGTCCAGAGAATGTATCTATGCTGTTCATGTTTTGAGGAATCTAGAACATTGTCCTGCCTCAGTTATACTTTATACTTAATAAGTAGTAAGTCAGGCATGATTAAACGTCACATTACAGAAAGTGCCAAGGATCTGTTCAGAAGTGGGCACTCTCATTCACTGCTGTGGGAGTAGAAAATGATGCGATGTTTATGAAAAGCCATTTTAAGCCACTTCTCAAAGTCTTTAAATGTTCAGTTTCTTTGCATCTATAATAACAAATATGGAAATTTATCCAAGAAGACTATTGAGATATACATACAACTAGTATACACTATACTTATGTAAGCAATATCTACTGAATCAAAAACTCAGACACCCAATAAATGGAAATTAGTTTAAATAATGATTAGTGGTATGTTATTAGTGTAAGTTAGCGACTATTTTAATATAATTGTGATATAAAACCCTTCAATAAATGTTCAAATGTATGTCCTGTAGAAAGATAATGAAGTTATATGAGTGTCCAAAATGTTAAATAAATTAAAATCTTTTGGAAGAAAATTAGACAGAACCTTTAAACTGGTAACCATGTAACACTGGTAACACTTTCATGCTATAAATCATATTTAAATAAATCACATCAGCAAAGAAACAGAAAATTTTAGGTAAACAAAGCTATTCTGTGAATGCTCATAGAAACAATGGCAGTTTGTCAGGAGGAAGTAGCACTTATTTTCCATCCTTCTTATAAAAAATTACATCTTGTAGATAATAAAAGGCTCTATTTTTAGACCCAACATGGTGTCTTTCTTTGTAATACTTATCACTCTGCCTTTTGCTCTGTTAGTTACCGGGCTGCTTAGTGACCCTTGCTTAATCACCTGCTTCTCTAGGTGACAGTAACAGACACACAGAATTGTAGGAAAGGTACTGCCAACCTTTACAGTGCTCATGGGATTATTGGCCAGAGGAGATCTCAGCAGATGGCTTAACATAATAATATGTTAAAAAAATAATTGAATAAGGGTCAGAATAAAGCACATAGAGTGCAGGAAGGCAGATAATGTAGCTGAGTAGGTGTGAGCAGCTTCAGGAAAGGAAAGCCTGGAGCATACACCACAATTGTGGTTTATATCCAGATGTGTTGAACCATTAGTTTAGAAATAAGTGGGATGCTTTTTAATGTGATAATGAATAGGTAGTGATTGATAATGCTGAGTTGATAATAGCATAATTTTTTAACCTTTTCAGCTCTCCGAGACGCTGGCAAACACTCTATTAACAGCGACTGGAAGATTGAACACTCTGGTGCATTCAGTTTAGCTGGAACTACCGTCCATTATGTCAGACGAGGCCTCTGGGAGAAGATCTCCGCCAAGGGTCCCACTACATCACCTTTACACCTCCTGGTATGAGGAAAACAACTGCTACCATTGCTTAATCAATTTTTCGTGGCAAAGATGTTCCAACTATGCCATCTCTAATCTTTTTTCCAAATTCAAATTATCAGATGGGCATTCCGAATTATTTAAGAGGTGACCTTTTAGAGATATTTAACACATGCATTAACCCATGATGTCTAAAAGTGATCATTGTTAAAGTGGAGCAGGATGTAATAGGGAATTCATAGAGCTAAAATAGAAATGTATTACCGAGGAATCCATTTTTCATAGAAACATGCGCTTATGAATCAAAGTGGATGTCTATAACAACAGTGCCATAGTATGGCAAAATGATATTTTGTATCTACATTAAATGACCATTGTCTGAGTCTATATAAAATGCCTTTGATGCATTGTTGTTTTTCCCAAGGAAAAGAATTTGATAAATATAACTAACAGCCTCCCCAATGGCTATATTTTTTCACTAGCTTAATGGATTTTTATAAAGAATTATGAAAACGGGAATATTTGGGACAATAACATTTTTACCGTCGTAAAAGAATAAATGTGAGTCAAAGAGAGACTGGAGAGAATTAGAACAATGGGAGCTTGTCTAGGCCGGTGGCAAGCCCATGATCCCCTTTGAATTTCAGTCATGGCATTCGGACACATCCAGCCTGAGCTTTCTATTCTAGTGGTAAAAGCGAGTCGAAACTTCAGGCACCTCAAAACATCCTAAGTTCCAAACATTACACAATTTTAAAACACTAGTAGTTGTCTTTATTTGGAACGTGACCATCTGTATTATTTATTATGTCCATGCAATTTCAGTTGACTTAGTCTTCCATTAGAAGTATGTCTGTTGCTAGTGTAGAAGGCAGAGGTTCAAGTCACATATTGGTCCATTTGCTTCTTTGGCTTTCATGAACCTGCAAATTACCCGGGTTTCTTGTTAAAGTGCACATTCTGATTCATTTAGTTGTAGCCAGGATGTGAGATTTGAATTTCTAATCAGCTTCTGCTGATGCCACTTACTGCTGGTCCACGGACCCCAATCTGACTTTATGAGGTTCTGTGAAACCGCAGTCTATACATTTCACCAACAGGAATAAACAGAGCTGTGTGAGTGGTGTGGTTCTCTTCTGATCTATTTTTTTTCCATTAAGTTTATTGGTACATTTTAGGTATACGATATAATGACATTCATCCTTGGAAATCTGCACCTTTGCATGATCTATCGTGGTTCTTATTTTTCCCGTCCCCCTGCCCTCTCTTCAACCCCTCCACCCCTCTCTATTTACAAAGGCTGTTTCCATTTTTCTTTTTCATTTTCTCATATTAATTCCATTCCTTTCTCTCCTTTCCCCTTTCCCCTTCTGACCTTTTCTTCCTATTTCACATTATCACTTTCTGTCCTAATTTTAATATCCACCACTCACTGAACATTGAGAATTATTGGCCAAAAGTGCTTTACATTTATTTAATCCTCACAAGAACTCAGTACCATATATGTTCTTATTAGTTAATTTTACAGACTAAAAAGAACCATGCATAAGAAAAGTTAAGCAATGAGAGTAGTGTTTCCCTGTAAGTTATTTAGAGGTCAGTAAAAAGCTATTCATAGCTCCTACCCTTCCTGTATAAAGCAGATTTTTTT